TGAAAACTTGCTTATTTTCTGATGGAATGTGCTCTTCACCTTTTACAGGTATTTGGTGGTCAATGATTAGAGCGTTTGCGTGCAAACAGATTCAGAAAGTTTCGCTCATTAACTTTTTCGAGGGCACATTAATCTTCCAGGTGTTCCAAGTATTTTACCTAAGCTGTTTTTAGATGTTGGAAGCATGGTTGAACCTTGTGCAAAATTTTGTCTTTTAAGTGCGGTTAATATTAGATGTCATATTAAATATGTTTGTTGTTTATATATGTAGAACCACTCATCTAAATTAAAATTAATTATTGTATTTCTCATGGATCATTTCGTGTATGAATCATTAATATTAGCTTAACCCGTAACAACTGAGACGGTATGTTATCTGAGAGAGAAGTATTGGGTTCATCTATGCTATTTGTTTACCTGGTCAACAACTATTGTTCTTATTCATGGTATTACATAGCAGCTGTTTGGAATCTTTCAGTAGTGGTGCATGCTCATAATCAAGACGTAGTAGATAATACACTTAGCTGAGAAATGAAGAATTCTGTCAAATTTTGGTGGAAATTTGTCCAAAAGTATTAAGTAGCTATCATATTCTTCCTATTTTATTGCAAAATGTTGCCCCAGGGACTTTGTTGTAAGAACTTAGCTTGTAATGTGTCTGTGTGGGTTAGGCGTCACCGGCTCGAACCTTGGCGCAAGGAATATCTTGGTATTTAGCTTAATATTTAAGTGGAGAAGGGTAAATATGTGGTGTCATTCTCCGCTAAGTCGTTATTGGCCCTCGCGGATTTTTCAACTATTAAAAAAGAATCTATAGCAAAATGTGCAGACGATTTTGTATGGTTTATATTATCTTCTTTATCGTTCACTAGCTTAGTTTTGTTTTAGGAAATCAACATTTCTCAAGTTAATCGAGCTTCTTTACAGCCTCCTCTCAAAACTCATAAGCAGCAAGATGCTTGAATCCTGTGTTTACAATTGTTTGTTGTCATCAAATTAAGCACTATTGATAGTAGATTCGTGTATTGGAAGAGACAGAAGATATGCTTTTATCAAAACGAAATTTCTTTAATTTGTTTGTCCTAATTTGGTTTGGCAAAAAGTTAAATAAAGAGAGGAAGACTTTTGTAATTTGTGGTCGTAATTATGTCATAATATTTGTGTCATAATTTCTTTTTTTGTCCTAGTTGTCATAATTTCTTTAATTATGTCATAATATTTGTGTGGCAATTATGTCATGGCTATAAAAGCTTTTTAAACTCGTGATCTTAAATAAGTCATAATATTTGTATGGTTATAAATGCTTTTCATTAAAGAAATATAGGAATGTGCTAATCTTTTTAAAAAGACTAATAAGAAAATAGTGTCAATATTTTAAAACGGGAGTATTAAGGAATCCCAAGTAGAAGAGAAGAGATAATGCCGTTGGATTTCTCTACATCTTGGAACGAAAAAAACAGATAATGAAGGGGGTCAGTAGGAGGAGCTTCCTTTTGCTGTTGGCGTTTGAGCATTCTTTTGCTGTTGGCGTCATTAGGTATTAATATTATATTATTTCTTTATAAATAAATACCTGGATTATTGTATCACAAAATTGATAAAACTTATACAATTTTATATTTAAAGGTTATTCTTATTGTAAGTAATAGCAGAGTGATGCATTTTAGTTTCATTCGTGTATATACAATCAACTAATATTCATGTGTCAAATTTACATATGAAAAGACTCAAAAGTTGGAATCAAACAAAGGGTATGTATACATGCAATTGTGAAGTACCCAATATTTTACACCTTCAAGAGGAATTCGTAAAGGAGATCCTTTGTCACCCTATTTATTCATTATGTGTATGGAATTATTATCTAGAAATATATCACAATCAGTGGACTACTTAAATTAGCAATCTATCCGAATTTCTAAAGAGGGTCCATTACTATCGCATCTTTTCTTCGCAGACTATATAATATTATTTTCTAAAATAACTACTAAAAGTTCCCATGCAATTATTGATGTGTTCAATAATTTCTGAGAATGCTCGGGGCAAAAGATTAACTTTGATAAATCTAAGTTATTTTTCTCTAAGAATTGTAGTACTAATGATAAGGTTTTTGCAATAAACTCATTTAGTATGAAAGAAGGAACCTTTTTTGGAAAATATTTAGGATTCCCCATGTTCCAAGCAAAGCCTAAAAATGCTGATTTCCAATTCTTGCTTGATAATTTCAAGAATAAATTAGCAGGCTGGAAGTCTAAATTCTTAACACTGGCAGGAAGAGTCACTTTAATAAAATCTACATTAAATCAACTTCCTAATCATATAATGCAATATATACATATTCCTTCTAATATTCTCCATAAGCTAGATCAGTATCAACGAAATTTCCTATGGGGTTCTACTTTGAAGAAAAAGAAATTGCATCTTGTTAAATGGGATGATATTACGAAGCCAAAATATACTGGTGGATTAGGAATACAAAAGTTAAGATATAAGAACAATGCTTTATTAGCAAGTTTAGCATTGAGATTATTTAATTCACCAAACACTGTGTGGGCTAAGGTGTTACTGTCCAAATATCTACATACTTCTCATGCTAAAAAGAATTCCAATATTTGGTCTAACATCATCACTGGTTGGAACCTATGCCAGTTAGGCATAAAATGGAATATAGGAAGAGGCACACATATTAGGCTATGGGAGGATCCATGGATTGCACCCGATACAACTACTAGATCAACTATCTTTGGACCTTTACCTTTGGAGTATCAAAACATGACTATCTCATCTTTTACTGATAATGAGAGATGGGATTGGAATAAAATTCCTTTTGACCTGCCCAATACCATTAGACATCTAATTCAATCGGTTTATATTTCAAAATATGGTAACAAAGTTGACAGAATTTTCTGGGGTTTAACTCCTACAGGTATTTTCAGTATTAAGTCCATGTATAATATATTAGATGCACAACATAATATTACTATAACAAATTATATAAATTACGACTGGATTTGGAGGCTACCTGTTCAACCCAAAATCAAAGGGTTCATATGGTTGCTTTTTAAAGAAAGACTACCCACTATGGAATATCTCAAATTGCAACATCATTCAAGATGCTACATGTCAATATTGCCATGAGAAAGATGAAAACACTAAACATTTGTTTCTAGAATGCATTAGTGCTAAAACATATTGGCAGACTTTGGGTATAATTGATTATATCATTTACTTGTCACAAGATTCGAATGATTCTAATTGGATTCATAAGCTTATAACTTTCAAAAAAATTTATGTTCCATACAAGATAAATCCAACCACATACTTGTCTTTGAGTTTATGGAATATTTGGTTAGCCCGGAATAATAATTGTTATAAACATAGTACATCAATAGCTTCTACGAAGTTAACTACTCAACAAACTGCTGAATTTACATATCTTATTGCTAACAAGCATACTATTAGGAGAAAGAGACAACAAAATCTTAAATTGAAACCTCCTAAATTTCCTTTCTATAAACTAAATACTGACGGTGCCCATAATAATAGTAAGTCTGGTATTGGTGGTTTAATACTAAATGCAAATGCGGAATGGGTAATAGGATTTGCAGCATCAATTACAGCGGAGTCACCAACTACAGCAGAAACATATGCTTTAATGCAAGGACTCCAATTAGCCCTTGATCGTAATTTACTACCACTGGAAGTAGAAGTGGACTCAAAGGATTTACTAAGATTACTCACTTCCACTAAAGACATACCTAATAATTTAATTTCTGATTGCAGGTACCTCCTGGACAGGTTGGGTAAACCTATAGTAATGCATGCGTACAGAGAGCAGAATGGAGTTGCGGACAAGCTAGCAAAGGAGGGCTGCAATTTTAACTTACAATCAATGGTGCATATTTTTTATGACAGCCTAGTTTTAGCAAGGTCACTTTTTGAGAGGGAAAAGAGTGTAGTGTAGGGACATGTTTTGGATAACGATAGGCCTAACTCTAGTGATTACAATATTGTAAATATGGATGTTAATAGTAGTAGACCTATGCGTAATAGTAAAATAGTTAGACAAAATATTATAGCACCCAATGAAGGTGCATATGCTTGTAGTAGGATGCAAGGTATGCATCCCGCCTCTGTACGCAATGCTTAATATAATATAGCTTATCTTTTAAATCAAAAAAAAAAAATTGTGAAGTATATTTGTTAATTGAATTTTTTGATGTTAGTAACTATTAAGTATTTCTGTAACTATTATTGTACTACTTTGTAGGCATACATCATGAAATTGACAATGATCTGTGTATAGATTAAAATATATTTATATTAAATGATAGCACGAGGAAACGACACGTGAAGCAGAAGATACCACAGAGGATGATACTCATAAAGATAAAACGGAAAAGGCCTAAAAATGCCACCTCAATTTTTAGAAATGGTCTATCTATGTCATCCGTTAAAAAAATGTTCATTTCATGTCACTTTCGTTACACATTTGGCTCATCCATGCCATTAGGCCTTTTCTGAAGATAAAATAAATGCCTGCAGTCTGGTAGCATTTAATGAGGAATATTTTACAGCATTAAGTACATGGCCTGTTACAAGGAATATGGCATTCACTGCCTACTGTTACACATTCTTCAATTGCCTTCATAATTGACATTAAAGAAGGGCTTGATCCTAAGACCTTGTTCCTTGGGTGCATCTATAAATAGTGAGCTCTATTATCATTGTAAAGAACACGAATTTTCTGACAAACATACGCTACACTCTATTTAAAGCTCAATATAATTTTATCTTCTTGTTTACTGATATCGTTGTTATTGTCCCCGGAAACCCTGCTTCCCGAATTATTACTTGTGTTGTTTTATCTCCATCTCAAGGCTAAGTATTATATTTTTGTCTAATTCATCTATTATTTTGAGATCAAATTAATTAATTAATTTATTTATAGACTATGTATAAATTCAACTGTACCGTTTTACGGATAACCAATATGTTTATCCGTAAATCAAGATATATGATGATAGCTTCTACAAAATTCTCCAAGCATACTTTACTAACCTTATTAAAATTCTCCAAACCTATGTGGAAGCCACCCATTATGTCCATAAGTGTCTAAATTCTAGAACATCTCAATTCTCAGCAGCCAGTCTTTTTCTTCACCTATAGTTTAATTTATTACTAATTAAGATCAACCCAATAGAAGCTGCCTTGTAATCCCCTCCCTAAAGTCAAACTTTTTTTTTCCTAATATTCAAATAATACAACTGACTTTTCCACCCTCAAGTAAAAGTCTTTTTTCCATCTCTTTGTTTCGATTTATATATAAACCCAAAATATTGAACTCCCTTAGTTTCATTACATCGTCTTCTCCACCCGACTAAAAAACAGAAGGAACGAAATTTTGCATTATATGAGCCATGTTTACCTTTAAAATTCAAGATGGGCTCGTCTATATTCATCTCCTCATCCTCCTGTTTGTATTATCATGTCCGATGATTCCAAATGCGGCGGCGCAGCCATCAGATTCTTCTTCTGGACCCGACAATCAGTTCCGGTACCCAACTGTCAGCCCAGCAATGGCCATTATTATAGTGGTTCTCATAGCTGCCTTGTTTTTTATTGCTTTTTTCTCAATTTACATCCGTAATCGCAGCGCCGCTAACGGTAACAGTATCCGTCAAACACTTTCCATGCGCCGCCGTAGTGCTGCTGCTGCTACACGTGGACTTGATGATTTGGTCATAGGGACTTTCCCCACTTTTACCTACGCGGAAGTAAAGGATCATCATATCGGTAAAGGAGCTTTGGAATGTGCTGTATGTTTGAACGAGTTTGAAGAGGACGAAACGCTGCGTTTGATCCCAAAATGTGATCACGTTTTTCACCCTGAATGTATTGATGCTTGGCTTAAGTCTCATGTCACTTGCCCGGTTTGCCGAGCTGACCTTAGTACTCCTCAACCTGATGAACCGCCGGTTCAAGCCGCTGAGGTACCAAACCCTGATCAAGTAGGGACAGAGAATTTGCAGCAAAATAACGAGGTTTCAATACAAATAGAGAGTGATGAAAATCGTATGCTACAGCAAGAGGAGACCTCTACTGTTAGACCGAAAGTTAATCGAACTATAAGTTTCAACGTGCCGAACCGGCCGATGAGGTCTTTTTCTATAAAGAGGCCAAAGATGTTTAACAAGTTCAGGTCACATTCGACCGGCCACTCTTTAGTGGTACCGGGGGAGAATTTGGACCGGTACACTCTCAGATTACCGGAGAATGTTAGAAAAGAGGTAATGAACCGGGCACTACTGAACCGGACAAACAGTTGTGCAGTCACTGTACCAACCGGAGAGGGAAGCAATATTGGTGCGAGGTCATTCAGGAGAATTGACCGGTTCGACCAGGAAGCAAAGTCGGACCAGTGGGTTTTCAAAATTGCACCACCGTTCTTTACTAGAGGTCCATCAATGAAGTCGCCGAAGGTAAAGCTTGATATTGAAGAGGGATCCACATCACGCAGTGTGAAAATGGCAGTCAAAATGCCGTCGTTCAAATGCTTAGAGCCAAAAGGTGATGAATCCGGTTTGCTGACAGATGACTCGGCTCGGCCTTCGGCCCGGTGATGAACCCGGTTTAAATTAGATCCTAAAATCGGCACCTGTTTTATGCTTGACTTCAATAGCGTGGCGGAAAAGGCAATCTTTTTGTGCGCTGTGTAAATGAGGAGAAAAAGTGGTCAATGCTAGTTTGGCACCCCAACTTGGAAACTTCTGGCATAGACTTTATTGCAAAGTATAATGCCAAAAGTTGAAATTCAAGAATATTGCTTTCTAGAAATTCATTGAAATGTTGATTAAATTATTATTTTATAAGCAAATAATGTTCAACTTAAGGGTTTTTTCAGGGTTAGATGGGGCCAAGTGTGTTTATCTAGCAGGTGGTTTTAGTAATTAAGACACCTTCATGATGTAAATATGTTTTGATTTCATTCTTCGATGCATTTTTGAGAATAGAAAATCTGAAAGGAAATAGACTTGTTGATACTTGTTTTATTTCCTTGGTCAAGATGATTACTGGACGAAAGGGGCAACGATCCTGCCACTTTAATACCTATTTTTCAAAGGTTTGTTAGCATGAAAAATCAATAAATACTAATAAATAAAATTAAATAAGTAGTACTCCTAAAAATATCAAGTCATCAGTTCCTGCATTAGGTCCTAATAATATAGGTACACGCGGCTTCTATCTAAAAATAAAAGTACCTTGAGAAGTAAACCATTTGGTCCTGCATTTAAGCTTGTATAAAAAACACATAAAAAGGCATCTTCCGATTCCTCTATGTGTAGAGTCCGGAGAAGAACCGGACCATAAAGGTCTATTGTACGCAAGCTTACTCTGTATTTCTGAAACAAGGCTCGAACCCGTAACCTCCTTGCATAAAAACACATTTTGAGAAGTAAAATTAAATAAGTGCTGATGCATTCATATTTCTTCCTAATTCTACTGTAAAAGCTGCACTAGAGTTTGTATAGTTATCTTCTCTTTTCTTTTTATTGATTTTGTGTTTGGAAATCAAACCTTCTCAAGTTAACCAAGCTCTGTAAGACTGAACCACCAGTTTTAAAGGCTCGGAAGAAGAGTATGTCTCCTCTCACAACTGATAAACAGCAAGATTGTTAGTGTTAGATCCTGCATTTAAGTGGCTTGAGGTGTTTGGTTAACATTAATTTAAGCACTACAAATGATAAATGGAGATAGGATCCTGGTTAGAGGAGATGGCGAGATGCTCTAATCAAAACCAAAGGAGCTGAACTCAATCCATTTACTAGATAAACTTTGTATGTAACACAAACATCACATGTACCGGAATTCAACACGCTCCTCAAGAACCTATTTACTCTGAATAATAGGAGTAAATTGAGTCATACAGATGAGGAACTGAATTTGAGCTGTACAAGTCTTGTGATCACTCAGTTGAGTGAGGACAAAAGCAAGTTTATCAGTATCATTACAACTTAGACCTATCTGACACTAGCCGCAGCATCCACCTCTTTGAGCAACCGCTCCATCCCGTGGACCAGCTGGACCTTGGGTACGTCCATACCCAATCTTGATTCCAGATGACTGCAAGAGTACGAAGTGAGATATGTTAGACAATGCACCAATGATAACGTTCATCCCAGAGAATGAAAAAAAAAAGGATAACTGTGTCAAGATCGGAAACAACTTCTCCGTTTGGACACCCAGATTCCTGACTACCAAAACTTACCCTTCCATTTATAGGAAGTCATCAATCAACTAAACGACAATTTTACCCAATCTTTGCTGGCCATATCCAAGCTTGCAAAGTGCAAACAAAAGATCTTATCCTATTTTAATACTCGCACAGATTCAAAAAGAGATGCCCATGAAAGCAGTACAATCAGTAACGATGAAAATGTGTTGTCATACATTTCTGCGGGAAACTAATTGTTTACCTCGTTGGAGACATCAAAAACACCTTCTTGGATCTTTTGAAGAATCTTAGCAGCAGTCTGTATAAAGGCCTGGCAATTCATTGCATTAGTTTAGGAACAAGCTTCAATGGAATTTGAGCTTGTAGATAAGAGATGCCATAGGCTCTGGCTAATATGTATTACCTCCTCAACATTCTGAGCTGTTCTAGCGGATGCCTCAAGAAACAAAAGCCCATTTTCTTTTGCAAATTGTTCTCCCTCCTCTTTACTGACAGCTCTACGGTGCGACAGATCACTCTTATTTCCTACTAGCATTATGGTCATATTTGGATTTGCGTGCTGCCTAGCATCTTCAAGCCAGCTGGCTAGATGATTAAAAGTTTCTCTCCTAGACAACAGAACGATTACTAGCTTTAACAAAATGCTAATGAAAATCATACTAGAAATGAATAGCAGAAGGAAATACAAGAACCATTGGAGACAATCATTCGGCAAGATGCGTAAATGTGATCATAAAGGAACTGATATATTGAGTGCTCTGAATCATCACATTGACTTAACCACGTTATCAATAAACCTCATTATTTGATCAGAATACATCATTTTTAATTTGATGGAAAATTTCCCCGTCCAGTTATTATAGTCCAATTTATCCAACTTATTAATTATACTCCAACAATCCAATATTGAGTATGAGAAATCTCAAACATACTTCTCTTATTACAATCTGCTAAATGTGCACATAATACACCAATAACACACACTTCATGGAATTAATACACTTTTGCTATCATGGTTTTCATGTACAACTCAAAAATTCTAAAGTTACTTATGTCACTTTCAGGTAAACAACGGGATGATTTGCCTTAACAAGAACCAATGTTGCAACAGCAAATTATAAGCTATTCCAGGTTTACTCCATGAGATGTACTAGAATACAATAAGCTTTTACATGTCATCTGATTTCTGCATATTTATTACTTGAAGGGAAGTGGAAAATCTACAGGAATCGTCAATTAGTATTTAATATGATCAGCCCTGCTTGACATGTCAGACTTCTGCTGAAGAGGACTTGACATAAAAAGGCAATAAGGACCGAAAATCTTCTCTTACATCAAGTTTCTCCAAAGATAAATGACTAGATTGTTCAAAGAATGTGTCACTTACCTGGTGATGTCATAAACCAGAAGTGCGCCAGCAGCTCCCCTGTAATATGACCTGGTGATGGATCTGAAAGATTCCTGTCCAGCCTAGAGAAAGAAAGACCCATGGAGGAAAAGAGAGTTTTAGATCACTGTAACTGAAGTACCAGATCATATCCCTAAATATAATGCTCAATGACGATGAAAAAGATACACAGTTTTTTCCACAATTATCAATGTACTAATATGTCAAGTATAACATGTCATATGTACCCTCCGTGCATAACTTTTATCTGTATCTTCCGTTATTCAAGAGTCAGAAAAAACAATAGTTGATCAACAGTTTAATGTAAATATGACGGCGTTTTAGAGCAGGAACACCTTATAATACTAGTTTCTTACAATCCAAATTTTATTTCAAAAAGCAGATTAACTCATGTCCATTTGAAGTCCAAAAGTTGGTCCAATTGACCATCAAATAGTGAAAAGGGACAAAAGTTAAGGTATTAATAAGGTTGTCCTTTAACATAGAGATAACAAGTTAGTTTGACATAAGCTTATATCAATCAATTGTTTGAACAATGAACCCCGTAGGTTAGACACGAAAAGTGTAGCAACATATTTAAATTTGATCGTCTCTCTCACNAAAAAATAAAAAACACCCCCACCCCATGGAAATATTTCCAACCCATTACCAGTGTCTCTTTTCAAACTTGTCCTCTGGGTGACTCAAACCTCAACCCTATATTCGCAGATGGAGAGTCCCTCCTTGATCTGATTGTGTAAAATCATGAATTAGTGTAGGTCTTCTAAGTTGTTATCATTTAGGGGTCGTTTGGTAGGAGGTATTAGAAAAAAATAATGCAAGCATTAGTTCTATACATTATTAATACCTTGTTTGGTACATTTTTTCAACTTGTATATAACTAATACTTGTATTAGTTATACATCATACTTGGCATTATCCTATGCATAAGTAATGCATAGAAAACCATGGCATTAGTAATACTAAGGCTTTAATGCATGCATTAACATGGTTAAAGACAAAATTGTCCTTAAAGTCCCTTAAAGCTAGAGAATATGGAGGGCATTTTTGTAAGCAACTATTTTTCCTAAAAATTATGCAATGCATTATAATTTTAATACACCACACCAAACAATAGATAAGAAATAATATTTGAATAACTAATGCTTGCATTACTAACACATACATTACTAATCCATGCATTACTAATACACCTTATTCCGCACTATTCTTATACACCCTACCAAACGACCCCTTATAGTGTGTGGAACACTATCCACACGTCCTTATCATCAAAATACACAATGGACATGTCCTTATCAAAAAACACTATGGACATGTGAAATAAAAACTAAGTCACTAACAAATGAGCATCTCAAAACATGTCTTCCTACTCATAATGAAAAAGGACTAAACGACCTGAGAACTTTACCTAGCACTTCCCCCTAAAGTTATGCAGCACTAGGATTAGATACTCATGTTTAGACTAAATGAATGAAAAATAGTTAACTCTGCATAGGATGATCTATAATTACTTTTCATTGATGAACATAAATATAACTTAGGAAGCTACAAACTCAACTCTATTTTTTTTAAAATGACATGCTCAACTCCAAATTGGCCATTCAGCCTTAAACTGTTCGGACCAGCATCATTTCCATGCTAAATGATGAAGAGAGTGTCACTAGAAACGTTGTGTGCAGAGATTGCCAGTCGTGTGTCACTTGTTGGACGCGAATCATGCACCATCACCTAGCACTCAGCATTCCATTTCTTCACATAAGTGTGATAGTTCAACCTCTTGTCTTCAATATTGTGGCATTAAAGTGTCATGGATGGTGCTGTTTTTAACAAGTTTGACTGGGAGTGAAGATGGAGCGAATTGACGTCACATTTTAATCAGAGTAGGCCAAGAGACATGCGCAGCAAGTTTGTTGACCATTCTTACTATTGTCAGTGGACTCAAAACGACTGTCATCTAGTTCAGTTTGTACAACTATATAGTTTTTCCTATACATTGTTTATATACTTTGAGGCAACGGTAGAAACCTGGGAGCAATCCTCTCCATGGTGATCGCAGAGGAGAACTATATGGAATGGGAAGATATATAATAGTTCTTTGTTGGTTGAGCGAGGGTGCACTAGGGAACTTGGTTGGGTGGGTATCGGATGGTATAGTTTCGGACCATACATCCAAATGGGAATCATTGTAATAAGTTTCTCTCATAGTGAAAGAAAGCTAGCCTAAAAATTGAATATTAACTGAATTCGACCGGGTACTTGATACCTCCCGCAAGCACATGTACCGGGTAACTCCGTCCAGTAAGACTTAGGCAGATGAAAAGAAATTACATAGTGGTTTTTGCCTCTGATAGGATTTGAACCCGAGGATCCACTTTTCGTCCTCGAAACATGTAATGGAATTATAAGTTAGATATGGGACAGAGACTTCTTTTCTCTTCTTTTTTTATAGGTGAGATATATTATTAATCAGAGCAGCACTAAGTTAGATAGAGACTTTTGTTCTATGTAATTGATATTCTGAGGCCACTTTGCTTAAGAGTTAATTCATTTAATGACGAATGAAATTGATGGAAATATGACCGCTAATTCTAAATTTCCACCCCCGAGACCGCTTACCATATACGTATACAGACACCAAATATTCAGAAAAAATTAAGGGGAACAGTAAATTACAGTGTCCCAAATTTGGAGTTTAATTGGCCGGCTGTCAATGGTGACCATACGAGCCCCAAACTCGACTCCAATAGTGAGATCATGCACTGGTTGAAACCTCTTGTCAGTGAATTGCAGCAGCAAACACGATTTCCCCACTCCTGTTCAAAAATACAGTAATCCGTACGGTAAATTAGGGTTTTAAAATTAGACCAAAAATCAGAGTAAACTAGAGAGAAAATTGAAGTGATCAAAGAGACTTTAAACCTGTATCTCCGATGATTATGTACTTGAAGAGATAGTCGTAAGACATTTTCCGATGAAGATGATTATCGCCGGAACTGAGTTATCTCGCCGGAGAAACTATACAGTAGAAATATAAAGGGCAAATGGATAACACTAAAGTAATTTAAGGGGTGACGTCCAGATTTTGTTTAGAGATTTCTGGAGGAAACGTATTTAAGCAAGGCATCTTCTTTCAGAAACAACACCCCCCCCCCCC